CTATCTAAAAACATCATTTTTTATTTTCAGTAAGGCCGTATTAATTTTTTTATAATTTAATGAGTCTGAGTCATCATAACTCCGTCACTGGTTGATTGCCGGACTTCTACTTCTATGGAAAAATCTTATATCTTATAAGAAGATGTGTCGTGCCAAATTTGGCTTAAATAATCTTCTTCATTTAGAAGTAATTTAAAAAATTCGAATTTTTTAAAAAATTTTTGACGCCCTATATTTCGAAAATGAAGCGTCTTATTTTTTTATGCGGAATAACTCCTTAAAGTTTCTCGACTTAATCCTGAATCACCCTGTATAACTGATTTCATCCACTAGAAGTTTTTCTAGATTGGATCAAGTGTTTTGTCAAAAATTTTGGCGAGTCGAATTTGAATCTAAAGTCTGTTGAGCCAAAAATTTTGCAAAGATCGCAAAATATCGCAAAAAAATGGAAATCATGAATCCCAAAAAATCTTGAATAAATGTCATAGACATGAATTACTTCCAAACAAATTCAACAGACTCGAACTAGGCTTTCTTTGATGTTTCTCTTACACTTTTCTTCACTTGTAGCGAACTCTTTACTCTTTACTCTTTACTCTTTACTCTTTACTCTTCGAATGACCTATGTAGCGTGTTTCCTTTTTCTCTTGTGTCTATTCTGATACGTTTTTCTCTTTAATGCTCAACATAAATCTGCCATCATGTTGATATCCCATCTTCCTTCGTAAATTTGAGAACTATCAAAAATACCTTCTTTCAATTTTGCATCAATTATCGCTGGAAACTTCTAAATATTGAAAACAGTCACCGTCACCACAGAAGAATTTTTACAAGATTCTCAAATGTTTCTTCCGGCATTTTTGAGTTCTTGAAAAGATGTTATCGAAAAATTTGCTTGCTCTGTTGAGTCCTATTTCGGCTTAAGAGGAAACCATCAATTCAACACACCCCGTATTGTCCATACGTTGCAACATTTAGAAAGACCCTTGTAAATAATTCTTTACCAGTCGATTGCCATAATTCTTGTCCTGAATGAACTCACAATGAGTTGTTCAAACCAAGCAATTATTTAATTCAAAAACACGAACCGTTAAATTGCCGGGACCGAATAAAAGGCAAATTACTATTCATCACATTCGGCAACACATTCCCAGGACGGAACATCCTGGAGCTCATTCTCTGAAGTCTCCAAAGCGCAATACACCACGTCCTCTTGATTTATAACATGCATTATCGTTACGTTACCGGAGCGGTCAAGCTAAATCTATAAAATAGTGTACCGCTAAAACGTTCTGCCAATGGAGGCACATTAATAAAATAGCGGGGACGATGATAGCGGCTCACCTCATTTATTTTACACTACCAGTGTAGAAGACAATCGAGGGTTAAGCCATTTTTCTAGTTGTCGGTAGCGACCTTTTACGAAATGAGTAGTTTTTATCGCTGTGAGAATTGGGTTAGTTCCTATTTTTTTTCTATAATTATCGTAGACTTATCACATTTTCGCACTAAAGTCCTCAATTGTTGTAGATTATTTGCTTAAAATATTTTATCTGCAATCGTTTTCATTATTCACCGATAACGGCACTGATGAAGATTGCTTCCTTAACTGGTTGTCTACACCTGATTTAATGTAATTTATTTTATTTTGAATCGAGATTTTCTGCGTAAAATTCATCCACCATCGATGGCTTCCAGCCAATATGCCCCTTCAGCTTTAGAACATCTCTTCCTGCATCTGCAGACGTGGTTGCAGATGTAGTCCAGTCACTGAAGGCGAAAATAAGTTAAAAGCTCCCAATTTTTTTCGGATAGCATGGATTTTCTTGAAAATTTGTATACAAGCTCATCTGACCCCCACTTCAAAAGTTATATTGTCTAGATCTGTGATTTTTTCTGTTTGGGGGTGAAAACTACCCTTGCACAAAAAAAAATGCGAAAATCCCAGATTTACGTATTTTAAAGATTCAATTCATGTTCAAATATGTTGGATAAAGTTCCTTCCATGTTTTTTAATATAATTTATGAAATTTAATTACTTTTCAACCCTTAAAAATCCTTAAAAACTACCCTTCCACGGTCAAAAAAATAGAAAAAAGTTTTTAACAGTTTATAATTTTATTTGGTGCATTGACAATGTATTGCATTACTTTTGTTATTCATTAGAAAGCTTACGACTCATTACAAAGTTGCATGTTGCAAAACGGTATGCATATGATGAATTATAAACTTTTTATTGGTTTTCAAATGATCTATGGTATATTGCAGCTTTTCAGCCACCCAAAAAAACCCTTATGGAAGACCTATCCCTCATAAATCCTACCCCTTACAGAAAAATTTCCTAAAAATTATATGTGATGATGATATAATCTGTGCGTATATAGAATTTCTCGCTTGGTGCCAACCTAAATTCGAGGCCTCGACCAATTTCCGTCAAGTCATTAATTTTAATACCGATTTTTTTTTCTCAAAAATCAAGACAATTTTTTATTGATTGTAACTTCATTAGTTTTCATGCTAACGACTTTTACCACCACTCAATTTAAAGGACTTTTCAAGACCTTTAATAAGTGTTATATAAGTTTTCCTCGAAACACCTTTAATTTTTTCGCTGCCAGACGTTGAACGATTCGATTATAGCTATCTTCGAAATTGACTTCAACTTCTGGGTCATAACTCGGGTTCTATACCACCTACAAAAATAAAAAAGCAATCTCTGCTATTTAATTACCTTCATTTTTGTTTATGATCATATTTTTGATAAAACTTGTATTTTTGAGATATTCGGGAAAAATGGCTGAAAAACATGCATTTTTTGGGCTAAAAACGAACATGATAAGGCGCAAATAACTCAAAAAGTATTGACTGTGCAAACAATTCTTATAGAACATTTTTTGCTTAGATTTCGTCCCTCTATCGAATTGTGAGGTTTTTCAACAACATTTTTCATTTCTCTCATATTGTCGTCAATAACGAGCCGAGGTTCATTGGATTTTATCGTTGGAATTTCTACTATCAGCTGTCATTTCTTCCACATCACCAAACCTCATCTTATGAATCTCACCTCTTCTACATGCACTGGCAATATAATAAGTAACTATACAATTTTGTGACTTTATTTCATAACTATTTTATGCTCGTATTATATTTTTAAGTCACTATATTGTCGTGTATATTATTCTGTTGTTGTGAAGACATCCATTGTTGTGAAATCAAAATATTTTCGTGGCTGAAAACATATGTATTAAATCTACGCAACCGAGAGAGATGCACTAACCAGGACATTAAGACAGGACATAGCTAATACAATGCTAAATATCACCTTACTGTTAAAAATGTTGTCACCGCCCTTACTGGTGGTGAAAATTCGAAATATTTGGAATTATTCCATTTCGTTGTTGGAAACATACATCGGTATTGAATTTTCGAAACCGAGAAAGTTGCACTAACCAAATTTGGACAGGACATAGCTACTACAATGTGAAACATCGCATTAGTGTCAAAAATGGTGTCACCTCCGTTCTTGATGGTGAAATATCAAAATATTTGGAATTATTCCATTTGCATGGCTGAAAACATACATTTTGATTCTACGCAATCGAGAGAGATGCACTAACCAACACGTCACTGTACATGGCGCACTTCAAAAAGTTGACGTTTCGAAAATCAGTATGTTTTTATCTTCTGAATTAGTAATGACTTTTCGTTTTTGATTATTTTCGACAGTTTAAATATGTTTAGTTTGCCTGCTTCTATAACTAGAGATGTCATATGATGTTTATTCTATTATTTCATCTTTTAATATTTGAATTGATTGATAAATTGTAACTAGAAAACAATAGACATTTTGAAAAAAAGTTGCTGTTGACTAGGTACCATTTTTTACTAGCTTGAATCAGTTTCTTAATACATATCATACATTTTAGCAACACCTTGTATTATTTGATTCAGAAAAATATTTCTAGCAGAAAAAACATTGTTTCATTTAGAAAGAAACTTTTTCAAACTGTATTTTATACCTGTAAAATGATGTCAAAGTTGTTACCATGAAATCCTATTCTTATTATATCTCTAACAGTTACAAAAGCGTTTTCCTCTCGGCGATTGTCCGCGTTCGTTTCAAAATTGAATTTCACGTTACTTTTCGCGCGCAAGAAGTACACACAAAACAATTTAATGGTCCTGATTTATTAAGCGATAAAGTGGGAGTCTCCGCCAAGTTCATTAGAGGCTCAATGCGAGAACAAAGGAAATTTGAAATATATGGGATGTTTTTGTTGTGCCCTATAGCGTTCGGCTCCGACTGGCATTATGAGATATAATAATCCTTTATTGTGCTAGGGTTAACCTACGTCATTATAAGCGATTGTGTAAACAAAAGTGCGGGGTAAATCAGAACAGTAATAATCGTTGGGTGCCTTTGAGGCGAACTAGCTTATACGTCCTAATATTGTAGGCATTATAAAGATATTTGCGGAAGGAAACGCAAATCACTGTGAAAAATTATGGTTAATAAATACAGAGTGTCTGGGAGTCAGTGGCGGCTCGTCAGCGATGGCAACACTTATTCTATAGCGCCGAAACAGCAAATCAGATACGTAGCTGTCAACTTCCATGTTCAACGACTTTGTGCTCGTATGTTGTTTCTTAATAAATGCGGGGCATGGCGATCCTACATACTGAAATTGGTCCAATCAATCTATAACGGCCTTATGTAAAATTTACAAAAAGTACCACCTGGAAACAAAAAATATTTTGATATAGGAAAAAAAATTTTAAGAGAACAGTGTAATTTTCCTGTTGCGCATAAACGCCAAAGTTAACCTAAAAAACGGTTTTTCGCGAATAAAAAAAACGATCTCCAATCAAAAAAAGTTAAATGAGAAAGAAGTATTTAAGAACAACCAACACGTGTTTCGTAAAATAGATACACTAATGTACTTAAAACTTATAATATAACTAGGTGACCCGGCAAACGTTGTTTTGCCATCCCGGCAAACCAGTTGTCTCCCGTTGTCTCCCGTTGTCCCGTCCCGTTGTCCCGTCCCGTTGTCCCGTTGTTCCGTTGTTGTCCCGTTCCGTTGTTGTCCCGTTCCGTTGTTGTCCCGTTGTCCCGTTGTCTCCCGTTGTTTTGCAATCCCGGCAAACGTTGTTTTGCCATCTTGTGGAACTGTGGATGGAACAAAATAATATAAAAATCGCGATTAAAAATCAGGGGTTGATCGTATAAGGGTGAAAATTTAGAACTGTATGTATTTTTCAATGCTGAATCATGAAAAAATAAAAACAGAAAATTTTCCAAAAAATAAAAAAAAAATTTTGGGGTGGACCACCCTTAACATTTAGGGGCATGAAAAATAGATGTTGGCCGATTCTCAGACCTACTCAATATGCTCACAAAATTTCATGAGAATCGGTCAAGCCGTTTCGGAGGAGTACGGGAACGAACATTGTGACACGAGAATTTTATATATAAGATATAATATGATGATATTTCAAGGACGACTTGCTCAAAATATCCAGTCAATTTAAAGTTAGATTCCAGGCATTATATTTAAAACTCATATTTAGTGTATTAGTAATGAATTGACAATTATTAAAAATAGTACCTAGTTAGAAGCAGAAAACAATGAAATATTATAGATACATAGACGAATCTTAGTAATATAAAAACTAATCAAAAACGACTCTTTGAAAATATTTATCAATGGGAAGCACGCATAGTTAATTTGTGTGTATAAAAAGTTTACGCGCCAGAAACGAAAACAAGATAATAAATAAGTAGTGTTTTATCACAGCTATTTTATTTTAACAAATCCAATCATGTTTTTATTAATTCCCACAATTGTTAAATGTAATGGGCGAATGTTAATTAGTAGGTATTTTAATTTAAAAAATGGTACTTTCGTGATGCTAGAGCCGTTCAAAATTTTGTGCACCTACTCAAAAACACATTTGACACGTCTGGTCTAGATTTGTTGAACCGTGACAAATGTTCCTTCTGTAAAATGTTCACGTAAGTTTCCAGTTCAGTATGATACACCTTATTTTTTAAAATGTTCCGATAAAAAAATGTAAGAGGAGATCGTAGTGACTGTGGTCCTGATTCTCCTCGTCCAATCCACCTCATTTCTTGCATTGCTTTAGAGTAATTTCAAGTATTTTGTCGAAAATCATGAGGCTCTTCATAGTGCTTGGACCACATTCCATGTCGAACAGCAAAAGACGCATCTTTAAGAAGTACAACCAGATCAATTCAAAGAAATAGTAAAAACCATCCATTCAATTTGGCAATAGATATGATAAGCTATCATAGACAATCCCTGCCCAAATATGCAAAGAAAAACGATTCTGTTGAATCACATACAGATATACAGAAGTTCTCAAACATGTGTAGTTTGAACATAATTTATCCTATTTCGTGTAAAACAGCATCAAGTGAAATTGATGATTTTAAAGCATTTTGTTGTAACAACCATGCATTCAATCTAACCCGTAGCGAATAATCCGGTACTAATGCTTGAACACGCTGTACATGATAGGGATGGATTTGAGCTTTGTATAATATGCGCCACACTGTTGACTGGGACCCTCGACACTTGTCGAACAACTTACCTTTTACTTATACGGAAATTTCCTTCCACTATATTTTAGTTGTGTTCATCCGCTATTACAATATGATGTGGACACCCAGGATCTCCATCTCTTCCATAAATGGGTCTTAAATTTAACACGCCTATCCGGAAAACGTTCCGCTTATTATACAAGCGAGATACCGCTGATTCATTTTGTCATACTTCGCCGTAAATTGAAACATAGACAAATTTAAACACTTGCAAATCTGATGGAAACAACAAACTGCGGTAATAAGGACATCATGAAAATCACAATAATAAAATGAATAAGTATACGAGGCCTGTTCAGAAAATAATCGAACATTATTTTTTTAAACTTTATTAATTGTATACATTATTGGTCCTTCTATCCTTCAAAGTATAGACAGTATTCAATTTCAGTCATCAAATAGATTTAGACATTCGTTCAAAGATTATTATAACATTTTTATGTGTATATCTTATAAGAAATCTGAGTACTGTATTGTATGTCCAGTTTTTCATGCAAATTTTATTCTCGTAATTTATTTTGGAGGAAGTATTCATAACCAGATCGAATCATCTGGGCCATGTAAAGAAAATATTTTTCATCTACACGGTGTTCCATTTCTCGTGGGCCCTACATAACTTTGTTATTTTAAATGGAACACCCTGTATATTATTGCGTTTTTGAATTCCTTGGTTAATATTAGGTAGAGTTTATTAAATGTACAGGGTGTTTAAACTCACCGTTTTCGAGATAATAAGTTGTTTTTGAAAAAAAAAATCACGATTTCAGCTCTCTAAATGAGACTAGATAGCGTCTAACTAAACCGTAAGAGTTAGAAATCTGCAGTTTTTACAGTTCGTTTTGGCATAAATTACTCTATCTTGTCATTTGTGAGCAAAACGTGTATTTTATTCAGACTCGGAAATACTGAGACCTACATTTAATAATCTTACCCATATTAATTGTCATGGGTGAATGCAAATTGAATGCCCTTTCGACTGATATAAGGTTGTCCATACTTATCTTTAACAGTTTTCCAGAAAAATAAACATCAGCTTCTTTTCTAATCCGTTTGAAAAAAAAAGTTTTTCAACTCGTAAAATTATTAAATGCAGTATTTCCGAGTCTGAATAATTTATACGTTTTGGTCACAGATGACAAGATAGTGCAATTTATGCCAAAACAAACTGTGAAAACTGCAGGTTTCTAACTGTTACGTTTTAGACGTTATCTAGCCTCATTTAGAGAACTGAAATTGTGATTTTTTTTCAAAAACAACTGATTATCTCGAAAACAGTAAGTTTTAAACACCTTGTACATTTAATAAACTCTACCTAATATTAACCAAGGATTTCAAAACTGCAATAGTATACAGGGTGTTCTATTTAAAATAATAAAGTTATGTAGCGCCCAGGCGAAATGGAACACCCTGTACATGTAACAAAAAAACACTCTTACTGAACATGTCTTCAAGATCAGGTCCAAACATTTTTTGAAAATGCGTCCTTTCAAATTATTTCGTAGTATGCACTGCTTTCTACTACAAATACAATTGTAAAATTCAGTAAAACGATGCTATTTTTTATAGCAGTAAACTTTATTAATTTTTTCCTAGAATTATATAAAAACACATTTTATATACGATTACATTTATGATAGTTTTTCCCACAATATGTAGAAGTGCAATAATACAGCACCTTCTTCAATTCAAAAGACATTTTTTCCATGTTCCATTAGCAGTCGTCTGTTCTCAGTATTAATTATAAATTCATTTAATGTGAATTTAATTGTTCCCACTTAAGCTTAACCTTATTTGTTTTCCAGACGATTGTCCTAATTCCAAGAGACGAAGAAGTACATTCAAGTACGCAAATCGATATCATTTTAGCGAGTTCTATATTTGGACTAACAACTAGTACAAACCATTATTTATTAGATTTATGTATTATATACGACTTCAATTTAGCTACGGAATGGGACTTCCTTTCAGCAGTAAGTATAATCTGTGAACCCCCATTTATGTTCTATATCGAATGCAGACCCATTTTAATATAAGCAGGTAAATTTGAAATTGAAAATCAGACACGTTGCGGTGCAGTGTATTACCTTTAGCAATTCTTGCTAGTATACAATGCAAACCGATATACCTGTACGTATATAATTCTGTTACAAATTTGATACAGACCTTATACCGAAAAGCAAGCATATTGGTTCTTGTAGTCAATATATTACCTTAAATAACAATTATTTCTTATTATTATTATTAATTTTATCAGGTGATGTATTCCAGTGTTAGAGATAATCAATTCCATGAGGTTCTTATTATTTTTTTTGTAAAAAATGATAATTTGGTCGATTAATTTAATTATCGATTCTGTTCTGTTTGCTAGCTTGGCATATGTGTGTACATTGAAAGTCTTAAATATAAACAACATCTCCCACATGACATCATACACGAATATATCAACGTAATTATTATTGTAAAAGGTGCTTCCTATTGGTTTTTTCCTTGGTTGAATCAGTATCTCGCAGAAGGTGAACGTTTTTTATGAATTATAAATCTTTATTCAATTATTCCATTAATTACTGTACTTATTGCTACATTCTATTATATCTTGGATCGAACTGTACGTTGGTTAGTATTTCTTTATAAATTAAAGAAGTAATAAGTACTCAGTTACATTAGGTTGCAAAACAGACATATTTAATACATTTCATTATACCTATAATTACTAGAGCTATCACAATCGGTCCGCTAGCGCCGCTCCGTCAGTCAGCCCCGCGAGCTGCTAGCTGTCGCTTTAGTCGCCAATTTCCCTGAAATCGAACGATTTCTTTTACGATTTCAGTTGTCTTTTGATGCATAATTGTGTATAATTATGTCGAGCGTAGTTAGTGCTAAAAAACAGCAAACAATTCATACTATACTGACTAAAGAAAAAAAAACCCTGAGGCGATATACCCTCTTAAAGGAGGAGATTGAAATTCACGTTTTAATTTTTTTCTTTAACATGAGGAATGCTTGAGACACGAAACTTGGTATGAGCATCCCACTAATAAAGAGACAACTTTTCTATATTTTTTCGATCATTGACGTATTTTATAAAGGAGTGACACAGTCAACCCCATTGCAATATTTTATTAGAAATTTTTTATATGAAGCAATTTATTTATTTAAAAATATGTATTGAGAAGACTGATTTATTGCGCAACTTTTTTACCTCTTGTAATTCTTCGATAAAACCGATAGTTTTCTAGTAAAACATTGCGAAAATTTGTAAAAATAAAATAGGCGAATGTCATAACAAATAAATTGTTATTTATCATATTAATAAATTGACACTTTCTGTTAACCAATAATTAGTACCAATTGATTAATTTATTATCAGAATAATTATGGCAAATAATATTTATACCAATACCAAATCCGGAAAAAATAGTAACGCTGCAGTAAGATTATACCGCCAAAGATATCCAAACCGACCGATTCCTCATAGACAAACATTGGCCTCGGTGGAAAGAAGGCTTCGCAAAACTGGTAAAATTCAGCCCAATCGT